ACGCCGACGAGGGCAACCCTCGCTGCGTCGGGCGAGGGCCGCCTTCGCTCCGAGTCGGGCGAGGGTTGCCCTTGCCTAGCGAGCGAGGACGGCCCTCGCCGACGCGAGCGAGGCGACCCTCGCTGCGTCGGCGAGGGGTCACCCTTGCCTGGGCGGGCGAGGACGGCCCTCGCCCGACGCAGTGAGGGTCGCCACTTGCCACTGGCGAGCGAGGACGGCCTCGCCCGGATCCGGCGAGGGCGACCTCGCTGCGCCGAGAGGCCGCCACCTCGAGTCGGGCCAAGGGTTGCCCTTGCCTGGGCGGCGAGGACGGCCTAAAGGTTGAAGTTGAAGGAAAAAAAAAAGAAAAGAAAAGAAAAGAAAAAAGAAAAAATTCAAAAAAATAAAAAAATAATATTAAAAATTAGTTCGGGGTAAAATTGTCACATGTGTACGGTTTGGGGTTTTTGTGGTATGTTGGGTAAAATTGTCAGTAGTACTAGTTTGGGGTTTTTTATGGTCAAAAAAATAGTTTGGGTAAATGTCATTAAGTGTCGAGTTGTTTTTCGAGTATTAACCCTAAAAATAATTAGAAAATCCAAAAAATTCCTAAAAATCTAAAAAAATTTTAAAAAAATCCAAAAAAAATTGAAAAATTCTAGAAAAATTCATCACAATTTCCAAAAAATAAAAAAAAATTCAGATTTTGGGAAAATAGGAAATTTGTTGAATTTTTTCAAAAGAAATCAAAAAATCAAAAATTTCAAAACTTCATAGAATGGCTTAAAATACCTGTGGCCACCCACTTTTAGTGAAATTTAATTTTTTAAGGTGCCCAAAAAAATCAAAAAATCAAAAATTTCAAAACTTCACAGAATAGTTTAGAATACATGTGGCCACTCACTTTGAGTGAAATTTAAATTTTTTAAGGTGCCCAAAAAAATTCAAAAACTCAAAAATTTCAAAACTTCACAGAATAGCTTAGAATACCTGTGACCACCCACTTTGAGTGAAATTTTAATTTTTTGAGGTGAAAAAAGAAGCAAAAAATCAAAATTGCAAAACTTTCAGAATGACTTAGAATATACGTAGCAGCGCCTTTGAGTGAAATTTTAATTTTTTAGGTGCCTAGAAAAAAAAATAAAAACATAAAAAAATCAAAAATTTTAAAACTTCATAGAATGACTTAGAATGTCTCTAGCCACCCACTTTGAGTGAAATTTAATTTTTTTTAGGTGCCCAAATGGTATTTTTGGTTTTTTTGATTTTTTAATTTTTTTCAGCACCTAAAGAAAATTAAATTTCACTCAAAGTGGATGGCCACATGTATTCTAAGCCATTCTGTGAAGTTTTGAAATTTTTGATTTTTTGCTTTTTTTTCTTTTTTTCGGCACCTAAAAAAAATAAAATTTCATTCAAAGTTGGTGGCCACAGGTATTCTAAGCCATTCTGTGAAGTTTTGAAATTTTTGCTTTTTTGCTTATTTTTATTTTTTTTGGCACCTAAAAAACTTAAATTTCGCTCAAAGTGGGTGGCCACAGGTATTCTAAGCAATTCTGTGAATTTTTAAAAAAATTTATTATTTTATTTTTTTCGGCACCTAAAAAAATTTAAATTTCGCTCAAAGTGGATGGCCACAGGTATTCTAAGCCATTCTGTGAAGTTTTAAAATTTTTGATTTTTTGATTTTTTTGATTTTTTAGGCAACTAAAAAAAATAAAATTTCGCTCAAAGTGGGTGGACACAGGTATTTTAAGCCATTCTGTGAAGTTTTGAAGTTTTTGCTTTTTTGCTTATTTTTATTTTTTTTGGCATCTAAAAAAGTTAAATTTCGCTCAAAGTGGGTGGCCACAGGTATTCTAATCCATTCTGTGAAATTTTGAATTTTTTTATTTTTTTCGGCACCTAAAAAAATTTAAATTTCATTCAAAGTGGATGGCCACAGGTATTCTAAGCCATTTTGTGAAGTTTTGAAATTTTTTATTTTTTTGCTTTTTTAAATTTTTTTCAGCACCTAAAAAAATTAAATTTCGCTCAAATTGGGTGGCCACGGGTATTCTAAGACATTACGTGAATTTTTTAAATTTTAGATTTTTTGATTATTTTTTATTTTTTTTGGCATCTAAAAAAATTAAATTTCCCTCAAAGTGGGTGACCATAGGTATTTTAAGCCATTTTGTGAAATTTTGAAATTTTTGATTTTTTGATTTTTTTTATTTTTTTCGGGCATCTAAAAAAATTTAAATTTCGCTCAAAGTGGGTAGCCACAGATTCTAAGCCATTCTGTGAAGTTTTGAAATTTTTGATTTTTTGCTTTTTTTTCCCACCTCAAAGATCGTGACTTTCAGATGAACATGTGTTTTGAAGAAAGAGTTCTCTCAGAAATGATACTCATTTTTGGTCTAGAAATAGAAAACCTACTTTTTTTTTTGTTCTGATTTCTGGTTCAGAATCGATTCCGGAACAAAAATTTGTTCCAGAAATAGAAAAATGGAATTGCGTTACCAAACGGGTTTCTGGTCCAAAGCTATTCTGGAAACAGAAAATCAGTTCTGGACAGAACCAGAATGGTTATCATGCGCTACCTTATTCATAACACACTCATCACTCGGTGTCATGTTTTGAAGAAAGAGTTCTCTCAGAAATGATTCTCATTTTTTGTGTAGAAATAGAAAACCTACTTTTTTTTTTTTTGGTTATGATTTCTGGTTCAGAATCGGTTCTGGAACAAAAAGTTGTTCCAGAAATAGAAAAATGGAATTGCGTTACCAAACGGGTTTCTGGTCCAAAGCTATTTTTGGGAACAGAAAATCAGTTCTGGACAGAACTAGAATGGTTATCATGCGCTATCTTATTCATAACACACTCATCACTCGGTGTCATCACATGCAAATCGTTGCTACGCACCAATTGCCATGTAATTATAGTGCAAATAACATCACACTAATCTCTTGGCATTTCTCATATTAACCGGGAAACCAAACATCAATTTATTATCATTTGGAATCTGCCAACTCTTATTTATAAAGTAATTCAATTCAAGAGCCCGCAACATTTTTACATCACACGAGTTTATGATTATTCTCAAGTTGCCAATACAACTAAAATGTATGTCAAACTACGAGATCCATTACACAAAAGACATTTTTACACTAAATTGATATTACACTCAAAATGTTCAGAATTTGATCACCAAGAGTATCAAGAATACATTCACTTTTTACAATCATATTCACATCAATTATATAATATTTAGCTTAACAAAATTACAAGATTAACCAACATAATTTCTCATTTCTCATTTCACTCTTTAACTCAATTTTCTCTTATTCTAGCTCTACTAGTCAAATCAAATAGCTAAGGCCAGTCATTTTCTATTCGAGCCATATGACTATCTTCTTGGCACTACATACAACTCCCACATTTTGTATTATTACCAAAGCAACCACCTTTTCTATATATTTATTTAATTAAGTCCAAACTCTGACTAGTTGGATAAATTGTCTAGAGTAGGCAATTAGTTGTAACTCCAATTAAGAACCTACCACCACAAGCATCCCTAACATGTAAATAGTCCGAAGAATGACTCGTATTCTAATGGCACAATGAATATAGTGAACTTTTCTTGTGAGATTAGTAACAATTTCATACCAAAACCACAAGTAGACTTCAACCAACATCATTCTCATCTCAATTCAACATGTCATCACCCATGATACAAAATCATCTAAAATTACTCTCACATATTGTCTTGCCTCTTATTAGCTTCATGTAATCATTAATCTCTTTGACAACATGGATATATAATATTGTCCATACTTCAAGCTAAACTAAAACAAGGATCAAGAATACAAGAGGATCAGCCCAATTTAGACCCTAAATTTTTTATTACCTTGAATGAAATTTTGAATACACAAAGCCTTTAATCACTTTGTAAGACATGGTTGGAACTAAAAACTTAAAACAACATAAATTTGATAAACTTTGGGCTTAGTTGAAAGTTAAGTTAAAACTTGGCTTTCTTTGTTGAAGAATGGAAGGTAAGAACAATTGAATTTGAAGAAGTAGAGATGGAGATTTTTTTGGTTTGTTCAAGAGAAGGTAATGGATGATTTTATTTGTTTTCTCTTCTTATCTTCATCTAAAATGATTACTATAAACCATGATTAAGTTAAATTGTCATGCATGATGTCATTTGATAATCTAACCTCAATGTCATAAATTAAGAGCATGTGAGTTATTTATATGGGTGACAAGTGGCTTAATTTGTTGGCGGAGGTGATAACTTTGTTACAAATTTTAGGATTTTCAGTGCATTTATCCCTAAAAAGAGTCACGTCAGCATTTTTCAACAGCTAAGTTGGACGGAGTTAACAGAAGGACTTGATTGCATCAATTTGACAAGTTTTAGGACTTGATTGCATCAATTTGACAAGTTTTAGGACTTGATTGCATTCTTTGCAAATTTTAGGGCTCAATTGCACTTCCATGACGAGTTTTAGGACTTCCAATATACTTATCCTTTAAAATAATGCCTTTCGAGTTAGGTCATAGACAAAGGAATTAAATTTGGCCGAACAAGCTCATTAATGAAAATAATCTTTTTTTTTTTTTAGACATGACATAAATAGTCCTTGAACTTTGGCCCAATATGCAATGCGGTTCTTGAACTTTTAATTCGTTCAACATCGAATATTTTCATATAATTCAGGGACTACATTGAATACGTACCAAAAGTCCAGGGACTACATTGAACAAATTAAAAGTTCAGGGACCACATTACACATCAAGTTAAAGTTTAGGGATCGCATTGAACAAATTAAAAATTGAGAGATCGTATTGTATATCGAGCTAAAATTCAGAGACTGTTTCGTGTCATTATCTTTTTCTTTTTTTTTCCAATCCTTGGGAAGTGTGGGAAGATTAATTTATGGCAAAACAACAAAAGAAAAAAACTCGAAATAATGAAGAAACCGACAAGATTGGCTCCGCCACTCGTGATCCCACACACGTTAGCCTTATACACGCTCGTGTCTCTCTTCGCTTCACTCCGGAAGACGCCTCTCGATCCATCTCCTCCTCATCGGAAGGAAGTTTCCCTTCCTCTTCTCTCCCCTCTCCCCTCCTCGATCCTCGTTCGGATCCGCCGTCTCGGCCCGCCGCCCCCGCCGCCGCCGATTGCCCCCCCGCCGCCGGCAGCGAAGATGAACGACGCCGATGTGTCGAAGCAGATTCAGCAGATGGTCCGGTTCATCCGCCAGGAGGCGGAGGAGAAGGCCAACGAGATCTCCGTCTCCGCCGAAGAGGTGCGCGCGCTTCGCCTTTTCCTCTCGATTCGAGCCGATTGATTCGCGATCTCGAGGCTTTTTTGCCGCGGCCCGATCGTTAGGTTTTTTTAATTTATTTTTTGGGGGATTGCGCGCGAATTTTTGGTGGAATTTCGGTTGTGTTTGCGTTGAGGCCGAGTGAGATTGTTTTGTCGCAGGAGTTCAACATCGAGAAGTTGCAGTTAGTGGAAGCGGAGAAGAAGAAGATCAGGCAGGAGTATGAGCGCAAGGAGAAGCAAGTGGAAATTCGAAAGAAGATGTAACCTCCCCGTTCGGATCATTTGGCAATTTCTTTTGTCTTTATTCGCCGGACAGATGAAAACTTCTTTTGGATTCGGATTAGGTTAAATTGAGTTCATGATCGAGATATTTAGGTTCTTTTGTCATTCGAATTTCGAGCGATCTGAATAATCTATCGAGATTTAGAATGGCTACAGTTGATCTGAATGCATCGTTGTCGATAGATGGAAATCGGATGCTGCTGACATTGTATATATGGTGCATAACTAGGGTAATCTAGAGAAACTTGATGCAGGAGTTGCTACTTGGAATGTGAGATAAGGAAAAATTGGCTTATCAAGCATGCCGTTAAGTATGCTGAACCCCGTCCGGTGAGATGGAGAAATTGTTATTCGTTGAAGAAGAGGGAAAATTGAAACCTTGGGAAAACGATGGATTTCTTATTTGCTAGAAGGCCTGTTTTATTGATTATATGACCATTGAAATGTTACCAATTGGCCAATTTTGAGAAGACATCAAGTGAAACTTCTAGGCAAAAGAAAATGTGCCTTTCTGCAGGTAGTTATATCCTAATGTTATGTGAAGTCTTTTGCCATTTGCTGGCTTCACATTAGGGCAATAGACAAGTACACTTTGGGGTTTTGTTCTGTCAACTTAATTTGTTTCATCTGAAAGTGATCTTGCCTGCCTCTCTAAATTTGTTGCAATTGCTTCTGGCAGTGAATATTCGATGCAGCTGAATGCTTCTAGGATCAAGGTTCTTCAAGGTCAAGATGATGTGGTTAATTCTATGAAAGAGGCAGCAGCCAAGGAGCTTCTTAGCGTGAGTCATCATCACCATGTCTATAGGAAGCTTTTGAACGATCTCATTGTCCAGGTTTGTGAAATTTAAATTGCTTTGGTAGTCTGAATTCTGTTCATGCTAGTCGATTGGTAGTTTTCTTGATGTTTGTGAATGTTAAGAAATATTTACAAATGCGATGAGAATGTCAAACTTTTGTTCCCAATATTTTCCACATCTCACATTTTACGTGTAATCCTCTACTTACACAAAGTGTTGAGTTGAGAGATGAGTAAAATGTACACTGTGGACTTGTTACCTGACCGTTTAAACTCTTACATTCGATTTTAAGTGGGGGTTTCTAAGGGGAAAATGGTGGGATTATGGTCTTTTTGAGCATCAGGTGTTCTACATAGTGGTTTATGGCAGCATACATTTAATTTTTTTCCCAGTTTATTAACATGCTTCGAAACATTGCTGGTGAATACTAGTTTTAGTATATTAATTCCATTAGCTTCTGTATCATCTTGAAGCAACTTGAAATAATTGGAACTTTCCATACCGTCATTATTAATTCTGATTTTATAGGTTGATGGTTTAGTGAGCATTTGAGACACTTACATTTGTCTGGCCTTTTTGTACATGTGATAAAGCATGTAAATGCTCTGGACTAGAGATCACCTGGAAAGAAAATTAATACTGTGACATTATTGATTTTGTGCTCCAGAGTTTGTTAAGATTGAAAGAGCCTGCAGTGCTACTTCGTTGTCGAAAGGATGACCTGCATCTGGTGGAGTCCGTCCTGGATTCAGCCAAAGAGGAGTATGCAAAGAAAGCAAGCGTTCATCCTCCAGAAATCATAGTCGATGATCGTGTTTATCTTCCACCTGCTCCTTCCCATCACAATGCCCATGGCCTTCACTGGTAATTACCTTACTGAGTTCACTCATTTGTAAGAGATACTTTTGTACGAGGTATATGTGACTGAAATGGTAAGACTAAGAGATAACAGAGTTTGTTGTTGGTTGGTAAGACTAAGAGATAACTGAGTTTGTTGTTGGTTGGCAAAGCTGAGCCTTACTGGGGGTCAGTTTGGCGGCATCTAAAAAGCATGTGGTGGTAATAACACTTGGTCCTGTGTGTTGTGGGATATATACTATCATCATCTGGATGATAAGGGTTCCTAAGGCAGCTAGCCTCATCTTTTCGTGCCATCTGACTGTTGTCGGCAAACACAACATTGGTAAAAAAAATTCTGAAGTTTTTTCCATTTCTTTTGTTGCAGTTCAGGAGGAGTTGTTTTGGCTTCTCGAGATGGGAAAATTGTGTGTGAGAACACACTTGATGCGCGATTGGATGTTGTCTTCAGGAAAAAGCTTCCAGAGGTACTCGTTTTACGTTATTGCTTTTTCCCTCCCTGTTTTGTAGTGCTTGATATGAAATGGTAAATTGTCACACAGTTTCCTATACTCTGTTGCTTTTGCAGCAAAAGAAATTTGAAAGATCAGGAATTTGAAATAGACTGGTCAGAGGCTTAGAGATTATTGCTCTTCACTTAATATGACAATTGAGATCAGGAAGAAAGAAAATAGGAGTATTTGACTTTGCTTTCCCATTTCTATCTTCAGAATGCATCTGCTTCTTTAACAAACAAATGTTGAAATCTCTAGTTGTTATTCTGGTGAAATCGCTTATGGCTTTGCTTTTGCTGCTGCATCTGGTATCGATATTGTCTCGTTTTGCTTTGTAAATGAATCAACGAGATGGAGTGCCTGTTGTGACCATGGTTTTTGATGCTCTATGCAAAATCTATTGGGCTCTACTTTGAGCTTTCTGTGTGGAAAATTCTGAGGATTTAACTAAGACTTGGCTGAGTGAAAACCTCCTGCTTGGGCACTGATCAGTGTTCAGTGGTCATTGAAGACATCTAAGTTTGTTAAATGTCATCATTGTGTGATGGACCATGGTAGCACAAAGTGGAAGATGATAGTACTTCTGTTTAAAGATTTAAAAGTTTTTGCCTAGGAAAGCAAAGATTTTATGCTTTTTATATGCGTCTTTTCCCAGTTTCTGCAACTTGTTAGTCAAGGCATAAACCTCAACAAACAGTGTTGGATTCTGTCAAGTCCAGCAAGAATTTTGGTGGAATGAGCGTGGTACTGGTGCTTTGACCTTAAAATGTCTGCTCGGACTAGACAGAATAAAATGAAATTGGTTGTGACTGAGGTTTACTGGAGGTGCCCTCCTGTTGGTTGGGTTCTTTGGGGGCCTTTCATAAAGTCTCGCTATATTGTCAACGAGGCCTACACAAATAGAAGAACAAAACGATTAGGCGAACATTGTACTTAGGATTTTATAGCAGAGTTTTCTTTTCGTCCTGAATTGACGAGTGAGAACCTCCAAAGGAAGTTTGTAATTTCTGTTTGCCGTGGTTTTGCTGGAAACTGCACCAACTATTATCTATATTTTGCTCGTGGTAGACTTTGATAAAAGTTTCTAATCTTTGCTGTTGCAGATCCGCAAGTGGCTATTCGGTCAGGTTGCTGCTTGATTTGGTCAGATTGCTCTGGTTTGGTTGTGCCTATATTGTTTAAATCAGAAATCTAGGTTCGTGGATGTGTCTGGGCATGGGAGATCGTGTGTTCTTTGTAAGCTTCGATTGTTTTGTGCTCTCAGTCGAAAAATCTGTTCTTTTGTTTTTCAAGATTATTTCCGGAGCCTGGTAAAGCACTGATTGCTACTTATAATTATTTGATAAGACTAGCTATTTACGTCCAATAAAAATGTCAGATTGCCGATCCTCGAGTGTCTAAAGATTGATTTTTACTGAGATGGCTCGACTTTGACAGGTGAGGACTTTTACCGCATACTCTCATCTAGTTTTTCTTGGTTTAATTCAGCCACGAATGCCTTAAATTTCAGGGCAGGTACCTCGAGATCTGCCCTCGCCTGCGATTTGAAGTTCAAGGACAGCCAGCAAGAGGCATGGTTCCGCACTATAAATGCTATATCTATTCGTACCAGAAGATCAACCTTACATGGCCTCTACCACCACCATCGCTACCATTCGACAACCAACCATAAGCAGCGTTGCAACATCGCCGCCACTTCTCTGACCGCCGTCTCCTCCATCCATCCCCCGCACTCAACCAGAACCGCCCCTTAGTTCCAGCTGTGACACCGTCCCCACCAGTCGCTCCACCTATCCTTCAACACTTGTGCCACCGATACCAACTGCATCAGCCTCCATTCCCGTGTGTCGATTCACAAATTCACAAATGCAAAATAATTGTTACGTACTTATTAATCTGGCCCAACTTGTCGAGAGTCGGATAAATTGGATTGGCCTAGTGTAAGTTGAGCGCTAGAAATGAAAATGATATACATGCTAGCAAAATCTAACTTCAGGAATCCCAAGTCGGAGTGTCGATCAATCGAGTCCTTTCCAGGATTCTCAACCATCATTTCATTTTCATCAATAAAGATTGTTTCGTATGATCCGAATCATCTGGAAATTTTTATTGCACTTAGCATGCAACTCCTCAAAATCAAAGATTGCATTGCTTCGAGATACATAAAGCTTTTCACTATTGACATTTTTATTGCATTTAGCATGCTACCGTTAACTCTTTCTTTGTTTTATCAATCTACCAATTTGTCTATATAATTGGGCACTATCAACATCTAACTACGTCAATGGTAGTATATAGTATTGCACCTGTACTCTCTTTTGTTTTTATTCTTTTGACTAATTGTTTTTTTGCTCGATCCAAGAACATGTCTTCTCTTTCATACCAACAGACGAGCGCCCCACCAACAAGAACGTGGCATTTAAATTAAAACTTTGGCCTGAATTTGCGCTTCAACGTTCTGCTTTCTGGTTGCACGTTGCGATTCCAATGACGACTATATCTTCTACGTGGTGCTAGTTAAATCTCAAGACCTTAACATTGAATAGTTTCTTAGGCTTATTTATGTTCGTACTTAAGTATGTGGTTGCGAGAACAACTAGCTGACAAAGTGGTCCAAATAGAGTCCCTGTCCGGCCATGATCGAGTTGCCCATCTGGCCCGACCAGCTCGAGAATCGAAAGAATCGAATTGGGTTGGAATGGCTCTTCCTCAACCTCTCGATCGCCGAGCCGGAATTGTCTAAGGTACGTTTCTGAAAATTCTTATCTGAGGGATGGACAGGCTCGAGCATGGCCTTTTGTGCTTGATCTCGACTCTTTGGGATCAACTCTTCGAGATCCCTTCACTGATAAAGTCTAACAGCCACGATGGCGGCGATGGCTAGCCTCTTCGCCTCTGTTAACTCAATAACACGATCTCGACCTCACGTTGCTAGCTTCACTTCACAATCCCCTATCCCACTCGGCAACACTCGACCCTTTTCAATCTGAATCTCCTTTCTCGTTTTGCCATGAATTACACCATCCATACTTTCATCCTCGTGCGTTTAAATTTGATCAAGCAAAGCCTAGCAACTAGTGCTCGCTTTGGAATCTACACGACAAACGACACCGACGGAATAGATGATTGCAATCATTTCTGTGCTTTGTCCTTTTACTTTATGCTTTCGTCAGAAACCCGTGGATCTTCTGGACGCTAGGCATTTGTCCCTTTGCTTTAGTGCGGTATCCACAGAACCCCTTTTTAGCATGAAAAGAATTGATGCAACTTTTAGTACGTACGCTCGTGTTAGGAGTGTGCAAAAGAACCAGAACCGCCCGGATAGTCTAGGATCGCCTGAATCCAGATCGGAAACCGATCCGGTTCCCGGTTCTAATTTTTGGGAACCGGTGGGTACCGGTCCGATTTTTAGTTTCAGGTGTGGAACTAGTCACCTATCCACCCAAACTAGACGGGTAATATAATAATAATATAATTTATTTATTTAATTTTTAATTAAAAAAGAAAAATCTTAAATGTTTAAACTAAACCTAACTCGCTTAACGGTCATTGAGCCAAGAAACACCTTCTTTTGTTTTCGCCTCTTGTTCATTCTCACTCTCTCACTCTTCTCGGTCAATGTTCACCTCACCGTCTCCAACTCTCGATCTCTGTCTCTGTCTCCGTCCTTGACTGGTGGGATCGATTCCATGGACCCACCTGGGAACCGGACCGCACCGGCGGTCTGGTTCCCGGGTAAGTCTATGGAACCAATAGGCAGTTCCCGGTTCCAAGTAAGTGCGCAAGGTTCGCATTCTAGTAAGTGCGCTACCTTTTCTCGTGAAAAGATTCTTGAATAATGACAAAGATATCGACACAGATCTATACGTTTAATTATTGAGCGTTTTGATAATTTTTTTTATTAAAAGTTAAATACGATATATTTCTTTAATTAAGCACGCAATTATAATATGAGGTATTAGTTGATACATCGATTCCGTGGACAAATCTCAATGCGCTTAACATGGCTCTACACAAGATTTGAGTATCCTAGGTGACCAAGGTAGCTTCCGCGTTCCTCTCATCTCAACATGCGGATCGAACTTTTGCCCGTTTTATATAAACCATGAACAAACCTAACCAAATAAAAACATTTCTCCCCAATAGAATAATGTAGGGCAATCTAATGAGGATTAGCTAAAGATGTGGAGACTAATTCGTGAAGCTTTTGTTATCTTGTCCTCATTTATGGAAAAAGAAAGAAGATAATAGTAAGATGTGATCACATATACATTTAAAGAAACAAGTCATCGAGCGAATGAATTTCAATTGTATATTCGATCGGATCTTAACATGGTCATGGAATATAATTTTATCATTGGTTGCGGTTAGAATAAACATCATTCATCAATTTGGTTCATATGGCGTCATAAGAAATTTTAAATAAATAATTAAACAAGCGAACCACATGTATACTCAAAACATTCGATAGAAGGGTACATCATTTGCAATAAACATATAGTGTTAGAGACACTTACTAAGAAAGAAACCCTTTATGCCCCAACACTCGTTGTATATCCAATCGGATCATCTTTCCTAGGCGGAAGGGAAAAGATAATGACCAAACAAATCCCTGCTTGTTGCAATTATCAAACTTTGTCGGGCATATAAGAAAAGATGACATGTGAATAGCAACGACATGTGGAAAAAACAGAATATAGCCAGACCTGTCTCGATCGACAAAGAAAGCAAACCAGAATTCACAATCAATCCTGGTAAAGGAATTGCATGATTGAGGGAAAAAAAAATATGATGGCGATTTTTTTTTTTTTTTGGTCGGATGATGTTGGTGATTAGAAAAATCAATTTTGCACTCTCAAGGAGGAATAAATAATTGTCAGAGACAGGTCAAGACGGTCCCCCCAACACAGGAAGAGCACAAGTCGTGGACGAGTCATTTTCTGACCCTCTGGAGAAAAATAGTGGAAACCAAGTTAGGAGGACTCCTAAGACGACTTGTGTTTTTGTAACTCATCGAAAGAATCAGTCATTTACCTATCCTAGGGTTTTCTTAAGAAAAGATGAAAAAGGATCGAACAAAAGTCGATCGACCGGAATCAGGTTAGAGTCTGGTCCGAAGTGGGGTGTAGCTGAAAAAACTAAAACCTGAGCGGATCGGAGAAGTGAACTCGGAAGTAACGTGGGCACTAGAGAGGACGCAGGAGAGACCACATCAATTCAGATATAAACTAGCTGTAAAGAAACCATTCATAGCAATATATTCTAAATATGTGCTTGACTAGTGTCTTGACGTATGAAAACGATATGTCCAAAAAAAAGCGAGACCTAATCTAATTGTAGGCCTTAAAGTTAAGGACGTACCGTTGTTCATTTAACATATATGTACTGTGAAAAGAAAGGTGTAATGACATTTTCTAAAAGCTAGGCAATGAATCCAACTAAATGTCATAGGAATAGGATCGGGCGGATGGTGGTTCCATGCATGAGTTCCAAGTTCCAACGACAGTTGAAATCGAGGGATTTTCTATCAAACCTAAACGTAACCTCTAGAGCAAGCCTACGACACATAACAAATTCAAGATCCCAATATATTCATGATTTCGAAAGAGTCTCTCCTCGAAAGATAGGCGAATTTTCCTTGATTATCAAAACGGAGAAGTGATCAATCTCTAACTGAAGTTTATAAGAGGCGACTAGCAGCATCATTGGACTGGATTCGGACGCACATATTGAATGTTCGCTGGATTCAGACGGGAAGCACGAACGGTAGTTGTGGACTGGAGAAATATGGTCAAATCTTGTGTTTCTTTCATGTCACTGCTTTGAACAAGCACAATGTGACAAGCAAGCTGTATCTGTACTTTTTAATGTGCTGACAAAGTACAACATTCATCGCTATTGATTCAGTACTGGTCCTGGAATTGAGATTTTGAACAGCGAAAGACAGTGATCATAATCTTGGCCCTATGCGAAGGTGCTAGGACCCGCCATTTCCGCTTTCTTGGTCCCTTGACATCACCGAAAACATGGCCAAATTGAACGAACAGGGCTGAAAAGCTTCCATAACGACTCTTTCACATGATACGAAATCTGGCTGGTCCCGCTGGAGTTCCATCATGCCGCGGTCCATTTGTAAACGGGCTCGTTCACGGCGCGCTCAAACTCGTGATCGAAAATGGGTCATTACCGTGCTTACTCTTCTCGAGAGGACGGGTGTTACGATATATTTTAGACTTGTTTGTGCGTGTTTAAACACGTTTTTGTATCTTAAACGCGCTAAACGTGTGGCCCGTTTGATAAACACGTCGTTGTGTAGGTCTCAATGATCTTGACGCCATTAATTAGAATTGTCGTGTTCGTGTTCGGCTTAAACCTGAACTTAATAAGAATTGGAGATGGTACAAAGACAACACGACGTGGGAAATAAGGACTAGTTTTGTTTTAAAAAATAAATAAATAAGCTTTTGCAAATATCGACGTGTAAAAGGTACTTTTATTATCAATCATTCCGGAAGGCTTAAATGTTCTGATAAATCCCGAAATCTCGTGTTCCACGTTCGTCAATCTCTGTTCATCTTCAACGCAATCATCAAAAGAGAGAATCAAACACTGCCGGCGATCTTTTCGATATATTCAAATTGCAGAAGCTACAGCTGGAAAGGTAAAGCATAAGAGCGAGGAGTGAGATTTGGAATCTCACATCTAACCAAAGTCGTACCAAATTTTAGTAGTGATTTCTTATACTTTTATAGATCTATAGGATCACGAAATTTAGAGCAAAAATCAAATAAATAAAAAAGGATAATAACACAAACAGTCCTTCAATCTTGACTTAGTATATAATGTGGTCCCTGAACTTAATTTGTTCAATATTGTCCTTAAACTTTAGCCTAATGTTCAATGTAGTCCATAAACTTTTGGTACATATTCAATCTAGTCCCTGAACTACATGAAAATATTTAACGTTCAATCTAGTCCTTGAACTGCATGAGAAGTTTAGGGATTACGTTGAACAAATTAAAATTTCAGGGACGGCATTGCACATTGGACATTTTTATGTAGTTTAGGGACTAGATTGAACATGTAATAAAAGTTCAAGGACGACATTGAATAAATTAAAAGTTGAGGGATCACATTGTATATTGGGTTAAATTTCAGGGACTATATTAAACAAATTAAAAGTTGAGGGACCACACTGCATATTGGACCAAAGTTCAGGGACCAAAGTTTTGGTTCCGGATGGAGGGTCGGTTTGTTCCTCCTAGTGCCTCCGGCCAACCCTTTTTTCTTTTCAATTTCTTCTTTCTTTTTTCCCCTCAAATTTAAAAAAATTTACCGTATCTTTATATCTTTTCCTTTTATTCAGTCTTTAAGAAAAGCAAGCCAAATCCATTGTAAATACGGTATACTTCTTACGTTTTGTTCTTTTTTTTTCTCTATTCTATAGGCTCTTTTAGTCATAATATTTTCATATGTCACGCATTGTAATTTGGTTGTGAAGATTGCAAATTTTGATTTAGGAGCAACGTTATTATATACACGTAATCTTGTTGAGGATTATGCCTAGAAAAAGTAAGCATGTATCATGAAATCGCATAACTTCTATTAAAGTACAAATCTTTGACAAAATAATAATCTCGAAATAGCAAACATACATTTAAATTGGGAACCAAAGTAATGGGTCTTAATAGTTTATAGTTATTTCAATTTACAATTAAGAATCAAAGAGAAGACAAAAAGAATGCTGTAGGTGTTATAAAAATATAGCCTTAAATAGAGATTATTGGAAAAAGCTATTACCTGATGTTATTGTTTTTGACCCATACACTCGTTGTCTAGGGTACACACAAAATTTTAGTATATTATATACTCGACAAAATCGTCGTATACATTGGCCTCGTTTGGTTCAGCATTTGGAATGCTCATTTGAGCTCTAAAGTTCCTTGGCCAAATGTAAATGGTGTTTGACAACTTTTTTTACTCACTTTGGGGAGATGCAATTGCATTTGGAATGCTCTCTAAGGGTGGAGGTGCTTTGAGAAGTTACATTTTCGGAATACAACTTGCACTGTTCATCGCGACTGTTCATCTTCCCCAGACTGAGGTCCGGCGGCCGGCGACCGTTGCCTGGGGGTCACGCGACCTCAGCGACCGCTAACCCCCAGGTGGCGGTCGCTTGAGGGTCGCGCGACCCCAGGCGACGGTGGCCGGTGGTTAAGCTCTACCGGAGTTTTTTTTTTTTTTTTTATAAATATTAGCAAAAGTCCTTTAGTCCAAGTTGATTTTAAAAAATACTTACCAAATAGTACTTGCATTTCGGAAAACCCCTTTAGCCCAAAGGTATTTGCATTCCTCCAAAGTCGAACCAAATGGGCCCTAAGTATGATATTGTCTTTCTTTTTATTCCCAAACAAACATACTACTTTTATAGCTTAATTTTTTCCTCTTTGTTTTATTACTTTTTAAATCTATCAAATGACTCTTTTTATATCCAACTTAACTTTCAAGCACAAAAGTGTGCTTTGGACCATGCTATAGCTAGACTAGTTTTTAAATATATTTTCTTATTTTATTTTATTACTTTTTAAATCTATTTTCGAACCTATCAAATCGGTTTTGGCCGGCCAAGTTCTACTTTGGACCATGCTATTGCTCGACTAATTCTTTCACTTAAATATTTAAGCCTAATTCCCTAAAAAGACTCCAAACTTTAGGTCCGGTTTTAATTCTGCCTGAACTCTTTATTTTATCTTAAAAAATCCCTAACTTTCACTCTAGTTCCAAATCAGCCCACACATCCAAAATTCGCCACTATTTACTCAAACTTATCAACATTAGAACCAATTTGAAGTTCATTATCGAGACCTACATTTTCATCAACGTCCTCATCTTGTAAGGAATAATAGTTTTACGGCTAGTGCTATCACCTAGAGAGGGGTGAATAGTTGATTTTACCAAATTGGATGATTTAAACGTGCGAAATGAATATAGTCTAGGTCAACAACTCATATGATCAATATCAGATGGATGCGTATGACAAACTTGTATATAAGTTGTTGTCAGATGATTGCGTCTAATGACTATGATGATGTTTTAACGAACTCGTTTGACAGATATGTATGCAGTATAATGTCAACAATAATAAATGAAAGTTTAGGGATAGAGAATACTGTACACAGATCTTTATAGTGGTTCGGCTTTATCAAGCCTATGTCCACTCTCCACGCTGGCAGCCTGTTGGCTATGTTTCACTATTGAATCACCAAAAGATTACAAGAACAGTGCTTTTCAGATGATAGATTGCAATATCACGTACACTCTTCACTCAAATAATTTTCTTTCTAAAGTAACAACATGTAATATAGTAATCACAAGTGTGTAAGATCGAAGCTCTATTTAGACTTTGGAATTTTTGATTCTTGTTCTTTTTTTTTTGTACGATGTTTGCACTCCTTTTATACTCCTCTATTTCCAATCTATCCGTTGACAGTCTTCAGAGGATTGATCTCCAAATCAACCCGTTGGAGAATCTTCCCAAAAGAAGATGCATAGCCGTTAGAAGAAGAACAATTATCTCCAGGTGATTTGATCTCCCATACAATCAAATCAAGGTTTCCTTAAGTGTAGTTTTTCGTGTTTAATGAACGATCTTGTGATTGTCAATTAGGATATCTTGAGATATCAATTTGATTGTCCTGCATAAACTTGCCAAAAATAACACTCATTGAATCTAAAGAGTAATTTTGAGTCTAATGACAAAGTCCTTTCATCGACTAAGTCTGATGACTCAGTATTTATCTGCATCAAATAACTTAAGTGTAATTGTGGTCAGAAAAGGATTGTTTTGTCTTTCTTCAAAACTAATTAGGGATTTTCTCAACAAATAGCAACCTCATAATGTCAATAATATTGAATAAAGCAGCGCGTTTTTGGACACGCAGGCAAATTTGACACTAAGGGTGTGTTTGGCAAGTTGCCAAACAATAACAATTTATGTTATTTTGTTCCCAGAATTAGTTTTAGAATATAAATCCATTTGGTAAATTTTTTGTTCCCGAGCACAAATTTGCCAAAATTTGTTTCCAGAATCAGTTTTGGAATAGATTCAAGAAGCAAAAAAAAAGTAGCTTCTTCTTCCCAAAATCATTTTTGGAACAAAATCAAGAATCAAAATTGTTTTTTTCTTTTTCTTCTGCTTCTTCTTCTTCCTGGCTTGTGGCCGGCGAGGGTTGGACCCTCGCAGCCTGGGCAAGGGCCGCCCTCGTCGGATCTGGTGTGGGTGACCCTCGCTCAGGTGGCGAGAGTCTAGCCCTCGCCCTCGTTAGATCTGGCGAGGGTCCAGCCCTCGCCTGCGCCGGCGACTGGCCATGGCCAAGGAAGGGGAAGGGGAGGAAAAAAAAAGAAAAAAAAGAAAGAAAAGAAAGAAATATTAAAAAATTCAAAATATTATTAATAAAAAGAAATTTTGTACGGTTACCAAACGCATTTCTATTTTTTTTTTCTATTCCAAGAATAGAAATTTTGGGCAGTTCTCAAATGTCTTCAAATGCTTAGAAATTATTTTCGGATACGGAATAAAAAAGAATCATTTCTGAGCAGAATCAGCTTCCGAGAATAGAATGGTTGCCAAACGCGCTCTAAGAGTGAAAGTCGATGAGTTTTTATGAGATAAAAATAAAAAGTTTGGGGCAGATTTGGGACTGAACTTAAAGTTGACGGTTTTTTTTAAGGGAATTAGCCCTTAATTTTTACAAAGGAAACATAAGTAAATTCCCTTAATTTTTACAAAGGAAAGATTAAGTATTTTCATTCATCCTACCTTTATTATGTGTCTGCAATCTGCATGAATGCAAAGCATCCTCACAAGTGCCGCGGTGTCGCATCCCATCGAAACCGTTAGCTGCTACGAACTATGGAAGGGTGGCCAAAATAAAGAAATCTCTGTTCGCTCTGCCTCTCTCTCACTCTCTCAAACACGCACGCACGCGCATCATCTCCAAGAAGAAGAAGAAGAAGAAGAGAGCCACCGGGTGATCCAACTGTTCCATTTACTCATCCCACCTGCCACGGCCGTCTTTAAAGTGAAAATCAATGGGGTACATGATATTAAAAGCTGTAGCAAAGAAATAAAGCCAGGTGGGTTTCTGTCTCTCTGTCTCTCTGCATGCATGATTCGCGGAGCCCAGTGGCTTTTGATTTTCACAAGTCAAAGTTACTCTTTGTTTTTGCATCCCTACCAAGCTCCTCGGACACAAATAATGGATTCTTTGCAAGCAAGAAGAGATATTCTGTTTTCTGCAGTGAAAGCAGAGCCAACCTTTGCGTTCTTCGTCTGCTCTGTTTTGACAAAGATTGCTGATTAGAGAGTTGAGATGAGTGAAATTTGTGTATATTACTTACTTTGAACTACAAGGCCAAGTCCTTTTATATAGGGAAAGAATGAACAGTAAACCTAAATTACATATTATGTTTAACATCCCCCGCAAACTCAAGATGAGTTGAAACAAGTCAACTGGAGTTTGGAGAGAAGATCTAAGAAGCGCCCAGGTGGATGTGTCTTTGTGAAGATATCGGCAATCTGATTAGCTGATGAAGTAAAGACAAGTCGTAGAGTGTCACGAAGAACATGAGAGCGGATGAAGTGACAATCTATCTCAATGTGTTTAGTGCGTTCGTGGAAAACATCATTATGTGCAATTTGGATAGCACTGCGATTGTCGCAATGAAGGATTGTCCCACTATGATGACGGACTCCCATATCTTCCAGTAGCCATCGCAACCATAATAACTCCGATGTGGTATCAGCAAGAGCTCGATATTCAGCTTCTGTACTAGAACGAGCAATAGTGAATTGTTTCTTACTACGCCAGGAGATAAGTGAAGTGCCCAAGAAAAAACAATAACCCGTAGTGGAACGACGATCTTGATGGTCACCGGCCCAGTCAGCATCTGAATAGGCAGTCAACTCCAATGTCGAATGAGCAGAAAAGTGAAGGCCATGAAATAAAGTACCCTTGACATAGCGAAGAATACGAAGAGCTGCAGCAAAGTGAGTTGTACGAGGCATGTCATGTCTTGGCGACAATATGAACGCATGAGCGATGTCGGGCGAGTAATAGTGAGATATATAAGCTGCCAACTAGCGTCGATAGAGGGTAAGGTTTTGGAGAGGAATCCCATCACCGGCATCAAATTTGGCATTGATCTCAAGAGGGGTCGTAACGACCTTGGTGTCCGTGAGTCCTGCTCGAGAAAGAAGATCAGTGGCATATTTGGCTTGCGAAAGATAATATCCGGATGTGTCCGAGTAACCTCCAAGCCTAAAAAATAACTAAGTTGTCCGAGATCCTTCATCTCGAGCTGTTGACCAAGATAATGCTTGAGTTTTGAAATTTCGGGACGATCATCTCCGATAATAACCATATCATCGACATATAGAAGCGGAGAATAGATCCACGAGAAGTATGTTGAACAAAAAGAGCGTGGTCGTGGGGACTAGATTTAAAGCCAAGAGATGCCATGGTGGAGCTAAACTTGGAATACCATGCACGAGGAGATTGTTTCAATCCATATAATGCACGACGTAATCGACACATTTGGTGGGAAGAATGAGTGTAGCTGGGAGGAGGTACCATATAAACTTCCTCGGTGAGATCGCCATTTAGGAATGCATTTTTGACATCCATCTGAAACGAGCCGACGCTTAACAGCGGCGGCAAGAAGATTGCGACGAGTAAGACGTGCAACGGGGGCAAAAGTCTCTTCATAGTTAATGCCATATTCCGAGTGAAGCCTTTTGCAACGAGGCGACCTTTATAGCGGTCCACAGTACCATTTGCTTTTGTCTTAATCTTATACACCCATTTACAACCGACAGCGGACTTACCAGGAGGTAGAGCAACTAAATCCCAAGTATGAGATTTGTCTAAAGCTTGTAACTCATCTGCCATTGCCTTCTGCCAAAGAGGGTTAGTACTAGCTTCTCTGTATGTGCGAGGTTCATGAAGGGAAGCTATCGTAGAATAACAATGGTAATCTCGAAGCCAAACAGAAGGTTGACTTACTCTGGTGGGGCGACGATCAGAGGACGAAGGAATGACCGCTGGTGGAGAATCCGCGGGAGGTGCAGACACGTCAGAAGTGGCCAAAGTAGGGTCACCAAAATGTCCTGCTTCAAGATGAGAGAAATGTACATCTGGAATGGAAGAGTCAGATGTGGATGGAGGTGTAGTGTCTTCTGGAAATAAGTCCACGGAAGGATTGGTAAAGAAAGGAACATGAGTAGAGGGGTCGAAGGGATGAATAGAGGAGAACATCTTGTGTTCCTAAAACGTGACATGACGAGACACACGAAGAAATTGGAAGTGGGATCCCAACATCTATACCCTTTATCCTCAATGCCATATCCAAGGAAGCATCATACATGGGCACGAGGTTCTAATTTCGTGCGCTCATGTGGATAAAGGTGCACAAAACAGGTACTACCAAAAACACGTAGAAGAGTGTAATTTGGGACACTACCATACAAACGCTCGTAAGGAGAGATGTGACCTATAATAGGTGATGGAGTACGATTTATAGTGTAAACAGCGGTGTGACATGCTTCCCCCAAAACCGTTCGGGACAAGAGGCGAGAGATGAGCGAGTGCGTACAACATCTAAGATATGCCTATGCTTACGTTCAGCTCTACCATTTTGTTGAGAGGTGCCGGGGCAAGAGCGATGAATGATAGTACCATTTTGAGAAAGAATCCGAAGAAATTCTGTATCTCTATATTCCATAGCATTATCAGTACGAAAAATCTTAATATCTCGTGAAAATTGGGTTTTAACCATAGCAACGAAATCATGATAAATACGAGAAAGTTCAGAACGATTTTTCATAAGATAAACCCAAGTATACCGAGAATGGTCATCCACAAAAATGACAAAATAGCGAGAGCCACCCATGGTGGGAGTGGGGGAAGGTCCCCATATATCAGAGTGAATGAGATCAAAAGGAGCATGAGACACAGAATCACTAGTCTGAAACGGTAAAGCATGATGTTTTCCCAACTTACAAGGCAGACAGTCAAAATGTTTAGTGTCAACAGAACCTAAATGACCACTCGAAATTAAAGAGCTTAACCTAGAAAAGGAAGCATGACCTAACCTAGAATGCCAAGTTTCAGATGACACTGTGGCAGCACAAGCAGCAAAAGAGGTCGGAATATTTAGGGAAACAAGCTCAAAGAGACGCCCCACTTTACGGCCTGTCCCAAGTGTCTGTCCCGTCCGAGGATCCTGCACACGACAACCATGAGAAGAGAAGTGAATATCAAGACCAAGTTCACACAATTGGCCGACAGAGATCAAGTTAAGTGAGAGTTTAGGAACAAGGAATGTGTTAGTTAAAGATAATGTAGATGTGGAAATGTTTCTGTATGACTAACTCTCATATGTGAATTATCGGCGGTAAGAATATGAGGTGCATGTAAAGCGGAGGATTTAGGCGAAATAAGGAGAATTTGATGTCATGTGATTGTAACAAGCAGAATCAAAGAACCAAGAATCAGAAATACCTGGAGTAGTAGACATAGTAGAAGTGCTAGGAATAGGAGGAGTAAAGGTACCAGATTCTCGGAGAATGGTGCGAAGATCCTCTAGAGACACTAGTGTGTGGGACGATCCATGGGAAGAAGCTTCTACAATGGTAGCATTGGTAGATGGACCGACAGAGGGACCTCGTGAGGGACCTCGGCTACAGGCTGAGTGGTCGATCCTGTGGGTTGCATAGGTTGTAGCCGATAACAATTTGATGCCATATGACCATGTCGGCGACAATGTTTGCAAAATGGACGGCGCATGGAGGAAGAACTCGAAGCGGCAAGTACTGCATCCGTGGGCATGGATATAGGCACAGCAGGACGTTGCGTTTTCAAGGTAGCTAGCCGAGTCTCCTCATTCAGTAAATCTGATACAACTGTCTCAATAGAGGGAAAGGGATCTCTATGTAGAATGGAAGCTCTCACAGGTTCAAACTCGTCATTTAGAGCCATAAAAAATTGCATGACACGAATACGATCACGATGTTCAGCAACTTTGCGAATGTTACTATCCCCTTCCAAGCGTGGTTCACACAAGATCAACTGATCCCAAATAGCATGCATAGATGATAGAAAATCATTAATGGACTGACCTGGCTCCTGACGCATGTGATATAAAGTCCCTAACAACCGATATTGATGGGCAACATCTGAACTAGAATAACGACGATCAAGAAGATCCCAAGCTTCCTTGGCTGTATTAAAAAGGTCAAACTGGAGTCGAATAGATGGGATCGAAGTGTTTCGAAACCATGTGAGAATCTGATGATTTCTACTATCCCATTCATCCAAACGATCCACAAATTGATCATCAGTTTCTTCAGCAATTCTAGTAGGTTCCCTAATTTGTCCAGTGACATAACGCCAAAGCCGGTGTCCTTTTAAGAAACTTGATATCTCTTGAGACCATAAAATATAATTGGAACCATTCAAAATAGTCTGAATTGGCATTGAAACTTCCATTCTATCCATGAAAGGCACTTTACTACTATAGAATCAACGGAATGTAGTATATCGAGCGCAGATATGGGAAAAATAACACCAAAAACCAGCTCAGGATGTCGGAATACCTCAAGAACCGGTTGGAAAACACCGAAAACCGGTCAGAAATGGTCAAACCACTAGAAAAACCCTGCCGGTCAATGCCGGTCAACGCAGTCAACGCCGGTCAACGGGAGGTCAACGATCCGGTGGCGGTGACGTCGAGGTTTGGGAAGCGTGGGCCAGGCTCGTGCCGGCGTGGGCCAGGCGCGTGCCGGGCACGCCCAGGCGCGTGTAGGCGCGTGCAGGGCGTGCCGGCGCGTGGATCTCACGCGCAAGGCTTGGAGCGGCATGTGAGGGCATGTTCGGCGGAGGAATGCAGCGAAATTTGACTGGCGGACTCGACTGAGGGCGGCGAGTCGTGGGTTGGTGTTGGTTTTTTGGAAAAGCACGGCGGAGGATGTCCAAAACACCGGTGAACAGCGGTGAACGGCGGTGGACTTCCTGGGTCGAAGGCGCGATGGCGCGGGGCGGTGCGTGTGGCGGCGTCCGCGGCCGTTGATGATGAAATTTCGGGATGTGGGTCTGAGGGTGGCGAGTCTTTGGTAGTCTCGGTTTCCGAAATGAGCGGCGGAAGTATGCCGAGTAGATACGAAAACTTCGATCTTGTTGGAGAATCGGGACGGCGCGGTCGGTGCGGGGCGTCGTGGCGAGCGAGGCGAAAAACTTCGGTCTTGTCGGAGAACCGGACGACGGCGCGGTCGGTGCGGTGGCGTTGTGGCGGCCACGGGGTGGCAGACTCAATGGGCGCTCCTCAGGTAATAACGGCTCTGATACCAAGTTGAGATGAGTGAAATTTGTGTATATTATTTACTTTGAACTACAAGGCCAAGTCCCTTTATATAGGGAAAGAATGAACAGTAAGCCTAAATTACATATTATGTTTAACATAGAGCTTGGGAGTGAGTGTTTCTTCTTCTTCTTCTTCTTCTTCTTTTTTGAAGTCTTGAGTTTGGTCGCGTCTATGAAACTTTATCCGGGGAAAGGATACTAGAAGTGCCAAAAGTTATGTACGGTGCTCACTTTGGTGTCAAAAGTTTCATTTGGATCATTTAAGTGTCAAAATTTTTGAAAAACGATCACTTAAATGCTAACTCCGGTCAGTTTGGCCGGAAATCCAGTGGCATTTTTTTATTAATTTCTGAAGCCGATGTGGCTCGCCGGAGATATAGTCAGCACGTACAATCAACATTTTTATTTTAAATAATTTTTTTCTTTTTTCCATTTTTTTTCTTTTCTTTCTTTTTTCCTTCTTTTCTTTTTTTCTTTTCTTTCTTCTCCCTTTGGTCACCGACGGCGGAGGCTCTGAGGCAGCCACCAGCCACCTGGCCTCGCCCGGACGAGGCCGCCGCCGCCGCCACGGGTGAGGCCCGGCCGACCCTCGCACAGGCGACGGGCAAGCCCGGCGAGGTCGGCCTCGCCTCGCATAGGCGAGCGGGCGACGAGGCTCCTCGCCAGATCAGCAGGCCGGCCGTCGCCCGGCCACGCGGCCCCCTGGCGTCACCTTCCCCGGGCGATGTCGGCGGGGCCGCCGTGGCTGGGCGACGAGGCCGGCCTCGGCTGGATTTGGCGAGGAGCCCTCGCCGGGGCTCGCCCTCACCCATGCGAGCGAGGCCGACCTCGCCGGGGCTTGCCCGCCGTCGCCCAGGCGAAGGTCAGCCGGGCCTCACTTGTGGCGGGCGGCGGCGGTCTCGTCCGGGCGAGGCCAGGCGGCCGGTGGCCGGCCTCCGGTCACCAGCGGTGACCAAAGGGAGAAGAAAGAAAAGAAAAAAAGAAAAGAATAAAAAAATGAAAAAAATTCATAAAAGTATTTAAAAAATCGAAATATATACGTGGAAATGCCGCGTAGACTAATTTTAAAAAAAAAAAATCCAACTAAGATTAAAAATTTAATTATAAATGACACGTATTAATTTGGCCGGAATCTCTCACCGTTGGCACCAAAGTGATCATTTTTCCTCCGATTTGGCACTTAAGTGATCCAAATGGAACTTTTGGCACCAAAGTGAACTCCGTACACAACTTTTGGCACTTCTGCTGTTCTTCCCCCAACTTTATCCGTTCTCTTCGAGTGCTGCTGTTTCCGAAAACGTGCATGTAAAGGAGTGTATTGTGGGTAGGAGGACTCCAGAACTTCTCGAGTCTCGCTTTTCGTGGGTACTGAAGACGTGAGTTCATTGCTTTTTTTCTCCTGACAGTTCCTTTTTCCAATCAAATAGTTCATCTGGCGGTTTTTTGTCGATGTATGTATCAGGTATTTTTCCCAACAATCTGATTGATTCATTAGCTTAGTTCCTTGATCGATAGTCTTAACAAATCGAGTGGATTATCCACAAGTATACGCCTAGTTATGAGGAAATCATTGAATTTGCGTTGATGCACTTAATTATATTTTGGATTATCCGCATGTACTTTCTCTTTGTCTTACGGTGTAAGTTGTCCTTGAAGAGAATTACAACTGCGACCGCAGTTTCCACTTGTTTGTCCGCACTCATAACTTGGATAATCTTCAGGATGTTGAACGAGGATGCTACTCTTGTACCTCCACGAGTGGTTAGTCTTACTGTTATATTTCGTCGGTCCATCCATGATGAGTATGTCCAAGAGGCACCATTTGATCTAGTTAGAAGTGTGTCTGAAAGACACCTTTTAGAGAGGTGCGAGGGGAGTTTCTTAAGAGAAGTTAAGGTAACTTCCTCATAATAAAAATACAACAAGAGATAAGTAAGTTCTCAAGAATAGAACTCTCTCTCTCTATCTCTCCTTTCTTCGTCAAAGAACGGCAAATAAGGATTTTGTATCTATTTTTGAGAAGACAATCGACATTAACGCTGTTGAACGAGAATACTTTCCTCGTGATTATATTCGGACCAACGTAACGTAAATTCATTCATCGTTCACTGGTGATTCAACGTATGATCCCGGAAAATTTGTTCGTAGTGCATCGAACAGGTTAGTCGAGTTTCCCGACACGTACTTACAACACTTACTGTTCCAAGGGGTCAGTTGGTTGCTGCTAGTTTTGACCGTGACCATTAGGAGAATACGCCTTCCATGCATCACATTGGCTCCAATTCATTAGATACTACCCTCATAGTCTGCAGGATTTCTCTGTATATCTTCCCCTTGGGAAATAAAGGAAACCACTGCATCCGTGTCTTTGGTGTGGGATATTTTATCTTTTCCTGGAGCGATCCTGCCGCTTTTCTTTGCTTTCAGAGGGCACAGTTACATGGAGAACAGCGAGGACCGCGAAAATGGCGCTGTTAATGAACCTTTGCTGGACAAAGAGCAGAACGATAACGTCACACCTTTTGCCAAGGCGGGGATTCTCAGCAAGGTGTCGTTTTGGTGGTTGAATCCGCTAATGAAATTGGGGAAAGAGAAGATCCTTCAAGATGAGGATATTCCGCGTCTCAGGATGGAAGAACGAGCAGAAACATGTTACTTGAGGTTCATCGAGCAACTGCATAAAGAAAAGAAGACGACGTCTGACACCTGCTCTATCTTGTCCGCTATATTTTACTGCGAATGGAGAGGTATTTTAATTTCCGGGTTCTTTGCTTTGACCAAGGTCTTGGCTCTCTCCACCGGGCCTTTGTTCCTTAGCGCCTTCATTGCCGTTGCCGATGGTGAAGAGGCTTTCGAGTATGAGGGTTACGCGCTAGCCGGAGGATTGTTCTTGGCCAAATGCTTGGAATCTCTATCGGAAAGGCAATGGTTTTTCAGAGCAAGACTGATTGGACTCAGGATAAGATCTTTTCTATCTGCAGCGATTTGTCAGAAGCAACTGCGGCTCTCCAGTGCAGCGAAAATGACTCACTCTCCAGGCCAGATAGTTAATTATGTCACCTCAGATGCTTATAGGATAGGTGAGTTCCCTTACTGGTTTCACCAAATATGGTCGACTAGCCTTCAACTGTGCCTCGCATTAGCCATTGTTTACTACGCTGTGGGCCTTGCAACATTGGCGGCTCTGACGGTACTCATATTAATTGTTGCTGTGACTTCTCCGATGGCCAAATTGCAACTCAAATATCAAAGAAAACTCATGGAGGCTCAAGATAAAAGGCTGAAGGTGGTTGCGGAGGCGCTTGCGAATATGAAGGTGTTGAAGTTGTATGCTTGGGAGAAGCACTTCAAGAAAGTCATTGAGGCGCTAAGGAAAGACGAATCGGAGTGGATTGCGGCTGTTTTGTGGCAAAAGGGTTACTATATGGTCCTATTTTGGTCTTCACCGGTTTTAGTTCCCGCCGTCACTTTCTGGACATGCTACTTTTTGGGCATTCCCTTGACCGCAAGCAATGTCTTCATGTTCTTGGCGAGCTTAAGAATCGTTCAGGAGCCGGTCAGATTGATCCCCGATGTGGTTGGGGCCTTCATCCAGGCTAAGGTTTCATTGTCTCGGATTGCCGAATTTCTAGAGGCACCTGAATTGGAAAATAAGCCAACAAAGCAACAGAGGGATAATGAGGTGCTGGAAATGGCTGTTTTCTTGGATTCACGCGAAATTTCTTGGGACAGCGGTACCTCAAAGGCGACATTGAGGAACATAAATTTGTCGGTCAGAAAAGGAGAGAAAGTAGCTATATGTGGGGAAGTTGGGTCAGGGAAATCTACCCTTTTAGCTGCGATTCTCGGAGAGGTTCCATATATCGATGGCATAGTAAGTCATTGATTAATCTTCTCATTTGGGGACTTACTAGTTATACATTGTAACTAGAGAATTGTACTATTTCCTGTTTCGGCCGGTTCATCTTATGCCTATGATGACTTGCAATGTATGATATATTAGGTCATAATTAAAAAAATTAACAAATAATGTGATTGAAGATTTACTGGTAAGCCTTAATCCGTGTTTAGGTGCGCGTTCATGGTAGGATGGCATATGTGTCTCAGACAGCGTGGATCCAGACCGGGAATATACAAGAAAACATCCTATTTGGATCTGCCCTGGACTCTGTCAAATATCGAGAAGTAATTCAGAAGTGTTCCCTTGCCAAGGACATGGAGATGTTTCCGTTTGGTGATCAAACTCAGATAGGGGAGAGAGGCGTCAATTTGAGCGGTGGACAGAAGCAAAGGATACAGCTTGCACGCGCTCTGTATCAGGACGCGGATGTGTATCTGTTGGATGATCCCTTCAGTGCCGTGGATGCTCATACAGCGATGAGCTTATTTAATGTGATCTCCTCTCCAGGACAGTGAAACTTCCTTTTGTTTTTGTATTAAGTTCTAAATGAATGCGATGTTTGCTCGTTGTTGCAGGAATATGTCATGGGAGCTTTATCCGGGAAGACCGTTCTGCTTGTTACGCATCAAGTTGACTTCCTTCCAACTTTTAACTCCATCTTGGTTAGTAACTCATTCAACCCAAAGGAAATTTTTTTTTTTCGGTGTCTGTGGGGAATTTAATGTCATCCCCGATGAATTTCTCTGCTATGAAGCTATTTTTCACTTTTCTCTTTTGTTCATGGTGTTCCTGAACAGTTGTGTTTCTTGACAGTTAATGTCCTCCGGGCAAATTGTAAGTGCCGGCTCATACGACCAGTTGATGGCTTCTAGCCAAGAATTTCAGGACCTTGTGAACGCGCACAACACGACTGCTGGTTCTGGAAATCAAATCAGCATGGTTTCATCAAGAATGCCTGGATATTCGAAGGAGGAGATCCGGAAAATATATGTAGAGGAACAGCTCGAGGCCTCTCCAGGAAGTCAATTGATTAAGCAGGAGGAAAGAGAGATAGGAGACAGCGGTTTCAAGCCTTACTTGCAGTATCTGAAACACAACAAGGGCTTTTTCTTTTTTACCTTGGCAACTATATCTCACATAATCTTTATAGCCGGGCAGCTAGCGCAAAATTACTGGTTGGCTTCTGAAGTCAACAGTACGAGTGTGAGCACCGTCGAGTTGAACTCCGTTTACACTGGGATAGGTGTTACCCTTGCTCTCTTTTTGCTTACTAGATCATATTTCATAGTCTATTTAGGTTGTGGCGCATCGGATGCCATATTCTCTATGTTGTTGCAGTCCCTTATTCGAGCGCCAATGTCCTTTTTTGACTCGACTCCTTTGGGAAGAATACTCAGCCGGGTAAGAACATACTCTGAAGTCGCCGTGCTTTGAAGATGTTTAAGATAAATATCATGATTTCCTTAATTTTATAGGTTTCTTCAGATTTAAGCATCATTGACGTCGATGTGGCCTTCAAGTTAACCATTGCCCTTGGGTCCACGATGAATACCTACTCGAACTTTTTGATACTTGCTTTTCTTACGTGGCCGGTTTTATTTGTCATCATACCCATGATTTATCTGACGCTGATCATACAGGTAATGCTTATGCCTCAAATCAATTAATTGTTCCTTAATAGGCAAAATTCTGCACACCTATCTCCTGAGAGCTTTCTTCCTATCATGCAAATTCTAGTGCAGCATTATCTTTTATCTTTCTTTTGCTACAGAAATACTACTACGCTTCTTCTAATGAGCTGATGCGACTCGATGGCACAACCAAGTCTACACTCGCAAGCCACCTCGCCGAGTCGATCGCCGGAGTGATGACAATCAGAGCATTTGGCCAAGAAGACCGATTCTTTTCAAGAAGTCTTTGCCTTATTGATGCCAATGCAAGTCCGTACTTTCACAGCTTTTCGGCCAATGAGTGGCTGGTCCAACGTCTGGAAGTCCTGTGCGCTATCGTCCTAACGTCCTCTGCCCTCGCAATTACTTTACTCGATCTTGGGTCCTCTTCCTCTGGTTCGTATCAGTAAAAGCTCAATTCAGTTCTTCATATCGAGGTTTTCACTAGAAGCTGGGCTCTTATAGATGTATCATTTCATTTCGGCACTTTTTAATCTAATGTCAAAGCATCTATGCATCGACATGTTAGTTCACTTCCCTTTTCAATATCATCTAGGAAATGGGTTTCTGACTTCAAAGATTTAGCAGGTGTCAGGCCTGACTATCATTTGATGCAGGATATGTTGGAATGGCGCTGTCGTACGGTCTATCCTTAAATGTCTTCCTGGTCCTTTCGGTCCAATTCCAGTGCTCGCTATCGAATTTGATCATTTCTGTAGAAAGGCTAGAGCAGTACATGCACATTCAAAGTGAAGCTCCGGAAGTGATCGAAGATAGCCGACCAGCGCCGGACTGGCCTTCTTCCGGCAAAGTTGAGATTTATGATCTGAAGGTAGACACTCGCACAATTAACACACCTCTCAATTCAGGACTTGCCTTGTAGTTCACTTAGGTTTGATCATCAAGACATTAACAGGTAAGGTATCGGCCGGATTCTCCCTTCGTTCTTCACGGTATAAGCTGTAAAATAAAAGGAGGGCACAAGATTGGGATCGTTGGCCGGACCGGTAGCGGAAAGACGACTCTCATCAGCGCTTTGTTTCGTCTAGTGGAACCTACCGATGGGAAAATATTTGTCGATGGCCTAGACATAACCACTATTGGACTTCATGATCTGAGATC